AAACTAGCGAGCATGCGCAATTGCAGCAGCAATGACTCATCCTAGATAGAGTGATCAATTTAGACATGAAAGCATGTCATCAGTGCAGTGCTAATGCTTGGATGGAGGAGAGCCGAGAGGGTCACCCCAAAGGACCCAACATTTGTGGTGTCGTCTAAGCCATGCCAGAGTGCTCAAACTAGAGTAAACTAGCGAGCATGCGCAATTGCAACAGCAATGACTCATCCTAGGTAGAGTGCTCAATTTGGACATGAAAGCAAAGCTTTGTATGCCAAAGAGCTATATCTAACTGCAGACAGAGCTGTTTAGGCCTTCTGGGCTACTTTTATACGTCATGCTAAAGTTGAGCTGTGGCGCCATATGAGACAGTAAGCTCCTGCAGCCATGTTTGAACTTTTAACTAAGGGTAGAAATTATTTTTTTAATCGGAGTCATCCTTGGCGTTGCCGTCCTGACTGCTTAAGGTCCCTTTTATTTGTAAAAATCACACTGGCAAGGACGTGACCTCTACAGTCATTTTCATTAATGGTTTGGAACGGTTAATCAATCTTTTTTCGGCGCTTTTACAGAAATAAATGAGATGATTAAGCGCTTGGCGGCACAAATCGCGTTCGAAAACATGACGACACGTGTGTAAATGGAAGTGTGTGGGATATAATCATTTAAAAAGAACAGTTGTTTAGCAAATCCTTACGTGTAATATCTTTTATGAAATGTTTAAAATAGAAGAATTTAAATGGAAGATACTTAGTGCCGGTTTGGTTCTGTTTGCTTGACTTATTCGGTTTAGCACTACCAAATAGTATTTACATCTCGACACCATGTAAAGTTCCTTTTTTAACGATACGAAAAGGCAGTGAGTGGCTCGTATAAGAAAAAGGCTGAAAGAAATATTCATGATACTGTTAATCCTATTCCAACTTTTTCCCTTCGTGCTCGTGGATGTAGAACTGTCTAAAAGAATTGTATTTTAAATGGAATCCATCAAATCCAAAACTGAGTTTCACCACTTGCCACTTGATCTGTCGCCATTCAGTCGGTACAAACATTACTCAGCAGTGAGAGGGACTGGTATTCGGCTGGTTCAGCTTGATTATCACGCTTACAAAAGAAAGGCAATTTGTTGCAACCTCTGAAAAATGTTTTTTTAAGCATTTCACTCCACGGAATGACCAAAATGGAATTTCTACTTTCATATCAATATAATTGCAGGCATAAGGGCGATGACAAGAACAAAAAAGAAGTAGAAATGAGTAAATTAAGGGATTTTGTGTCAATGACAAATTCTCAGTTCTTAAATTACGTGCCTGTTATGCGACAGAAAGTTTCTTGAGTGTGTTTCGCATGTAACACTGTTCGTTCTCATCTTTCTTGGTTTTTAAAATACTTTTTTATTAAAATTTACAAGTAGTAATAAATGTTTACAAGTAGTATCTGACTTCCTGGTTAAGAATATTGATACGAATTTTGGATATCGCAGGCAAGTTTCCAAGTGTGATACTGAACAGTTATTCACTTGCATAAAAGATAACTTGACGACTCGGAAGCAAAATGTCATCACGCTGTTAAGGAAGTTGTGCAAATACATCAATGAAGAATAAGAAAGATGGTTAGTTTTGAGCTCGGTAAAGAAATATAGAAAGATGTTTTTCGTCTGGTCACGAGCGTGGGACAACGAAAAATGCTGAGGAGTCGAACCTCAGACCTTCGGATTCTGCGCTCCAATGCTCCACCATTAACTGCCATTAACCGCCTCCCGGTTAGCTCAATGGATAGACCGCTGGACTGATGTGCGGGAGGTCGAGGGCTCGAGCCCCGGCCGGACCAACATTCAAGGTCTTAATATAATTGAGAAGAATATGCTGCCTTCTGACTATAACATCAAGAAATGGTCTAGATATTCTAGTCCTCACGGATAGGGACGAATAAATGGAAGTCCCATCTCCTGCAGGTTTAGGGGTAGGAGACGTTAATTTCCCACGCACAAGATTACTGTGTGATGAATGTCCTCCCCTGGGATGGGATGGGTGGATTGTTGTCTTGCGATTCATACATGAGCCTCTGGCTTGGGCAATATGGATAACCATGCCCTACGTAAAGACATTAAACTTTAATTACTATTACTATTACTACCATTGAGCCACATAGACCCTATGGTGAGCAAAGCCCATTACGAGCGAGTCAGCTATTACTCCTAATAATTACGTAATGGGCCTTGCTCACCATAGAGTCTCTATGGGTCAGCGGTAGAGCATCGGAGCGCGGAATCCGAAGGCCTGAGGTTCGATTCCTCATGGGAACTCAGAATTTTTCCTATCGTCAATGAAACTGACAATCAGTTCTTTTACACGGAGTTTTTTAATAATGTCATAAAGCCCTACGAAAAATTCTAAAAATAGCACTATTTTGAAGGCAAAAGTCTACAATTTGTTTTCGTCGGACTCTGCTTATTTTTGCATAACATTTTACACGAGCCTTTAAACCAAGACAGCTGCAGGTTTTGTTAAAGGGAAGTCTCCAGTAGGGTTCTCAAAATCGCGATTCTGGGGAGTACACTCCGTCTAATGTGTCCCTTATAAGTCTCTGACGGCTGCAATATTATGGTGCATTCTTGACTCGAACAACAAACTACGGTTTCTCATTATCGTGTGTAAATGTGTGGCAATTATGCTCGATGCCTGACTGGTTTATGCTCTGTAGTTAAGTAACACTCTCACCAACACATTATTTTAGGCCGTTGCATTTTCAAAATGTATTTATTCCAACATGCATTTTAATTCTCGACCATTTTCCTTTCGTTGGTAAAGGGAAGCACCATTCTTTGAAACAGCCAGTCTCATCAGCGGGCGCTCAGTTTGCCTCATCACCTTTTCTTATCTCGATCTTAACAACAGCAACAGCTATAAAAAGCCCCAAAGCAGCAGTAGCTCCATAAGCAACAGCATTGAGGAGCAATAAACAACAGCAGCAGCGGGGATCAATTTTGGACTAAGAGTTCGAAACTTTTTATCAAATAGGAATCTAAATAACTGCTATAGAGGATGATTTATTTGCTTACGCACATGAACTCGGAAAAGCGAGGAGATAATTAAAACATGTTCATCGTAAAAACAGAAATAAAACTCTTTTGAAAGAACAAATTGACTCGTTGAAACAACTGTCTACTCTCCTCAGGAAAGCCTAATCATATAATCGTAGATGTGAAGTTCAACCATAAATCATGTTGAGAGAAACGCTGGAATTTAATTGTACAATTGCGCCAAACGAAGTTGTATACAGAGTCCATGACGTTTAAAGCCACCCAAAATGGCTTGTATGCGTGAACATTTTTTAAAATGCAAACATGCTTTTGCGTTTTATTTTATAATTTTTTTGTACAGAACATTTGCAAAATGCATCTAGAATTTTATCAAAGTTTGTGAGCATTGTAAATATTATCATCCTTTCTATTTACTTTGGAGACGGTAGAAATATCCAGAACATGACAAAGTGTCAGGCTTTGGGGAAAAATTGCATATTGAAAAGCCTATCATGCAAAGACATTGATACAAAACTGAACCATTTTAAAGATGTCACTGATCTGTTGCATATTAACAGACTCTTGAAAGAAACTTTGATATATATTTTTTCATTACTTTATTCACTCTATTTTGCCGAGAGTTTGGAAATGAGGAAGACGAAATCATGATACGCCTTGGCCATCATCACTAAAAGTAGGAATTGCCTCGATCAATTTTGCTATTTGATTTCAATATATAGGAGGTGCATATGAGGAAGTCGGAGATGCATTGAAAAAAGAAATTCGAATGCCGGCTGAACGTCAGTGTTTTATACGTAGTATTAGTCTTACGTTTACAATTTTTAATTAAATTCCCAAACATGATTAATTAATTTCTGAGTAATTTTTACAAAACAAAATCGATGCCTTGTCAAAAATATCTTGCTGTGGTAGCAAAGTTTTAAGCATAGCCATTATTGGAATCAAAAGAAACATTACATCTTGTATCTCTGCTCAATAAGAAATTGAGTTCAAGTCAAAACGGCGCCTACTAGCTAAGAAGATTAAAACGCGTGGAGAAAAATGCTGTGTTGCTTTAATTAAGGCTCCAGGGAAGTCTGCCAACATCATATTTCCTGTCAACAGGCAAACAGAATATTTTTGTTAGAAAAAAAAAAGTTGACACCAAAGAACGCTTCTCATGCCAAAGAGCTCGAGAGACCTTCGGAAAAACGTCAAAGCGCCAATTTGTTCGCACAAGCTGTTTGTGTTCATGGCGAGTGGCACCATCGCGATTCTCTCCGTTGTCAATGGGTTGTCGTCAATTGCAGGAACCGTTGGAAATCTGCTGGTTTGCTTGGTGATATACCGTAACGAAGAATTGCAAACAGGTGTGAATTACTTTATCCTGAGTCTCAGTGCAGCAGACTTAACGGTGTGCTCCATCGCAGAACCGACCTATGTTTACTACTTGAATCAAAAGTGGAACGCGCAAAACTTCGAAACTTTTAAGCTCATTGCGTACATAACTCTGCATTCGTCGTTCCTCAATCTTTTGTCTTTGACGGTGAATCGACTATTTGCTTTGTGGTTTCCTTTTGGATATGTGATTGTTATGCGTGGTAGGAACATTGCTGTGATTGTCAGCATTATATGGTTAGTATCAGTGGTTATGGCAATTGCGTTTAGTTTATTCCCAGTTTTAAAGAGACCTGCGCCATACTTCCATGTGGCAATGCTCCTTACGTTTGCGTTCACCTACATGAAGATTTTCTGTATCGCCAGAAAACAGCGACGCCGAATAGCTTTGCAGGTTAGGTCAGTCTCTCATAATTACAGAGTGGCCAAAATCTCACAAGATCAACTGACCACGCGGACATTGGCAATTCTGATCGGCGTTTCAGTGATTCTTTTTCTTCCTGATACGTGGTTTCAGCTCGCGAGGAGCAGCGACTACACGAGATTTCACTGGTCTTTTACAACAATGTTTTTGAGCTCATTTTTAAACCCTTGTATATACGTGTGGAGAAGTGAAAAGTTTCGTCTTGCCTTGTACAAGACAATTGGTGTTTCTCGCCGAGGTCGTCGATCAACTGTAAAGGTTAATTTTAACGCATTTGAGCAGGTGAATATCAACAATAACTTAGGTGAAATTTCTGAGAGGAAAAACAAGGACAATAAAACTCCCTCCATAAATATGGAGGCACCGTAGCCAAATTGCAGAATTGACTGAGAAAATACAGTGCCTGCATTTTACTTTTATTTTTCCTATTAAAAATACTTTGCACTTTAAACTACATTCTACAACATTTGAAAAACATGTTTTTGTTTCCATTATATTTTTTTTCCAGGATATCTAGTAAATAATTATTCAAACCCTTTCGAAATGCAACTAAAAGCACTTAGGGTGATGGATATTTGTACAAATATCGGCACTTAAGAGACTATTCCAGGGCTCTTCATTCACTCGATCGATTAACGATATGAAAAACAAAGAAAACCGACAGACGTGACAACCAGGAATTGCAATTTCTATGATTTTAAAGCACTCTTTTCCCTTGACGTAAACGGAAGACTGTGTGGTGAATAATTAGTCTATTTTTTTTTCAACTCTTACCCACGTCTTGATAAGTAGAATGAAAAAATGTCGACCATGTCTTTCCTTAAGCTCCTAAATTCGTGTCTCTCTCATACTGCTTGACCTTATTTTCTTTGATCTGCGTCTTAACTGTTTATTTTCATTAGAGCTTTCTGTTCGTCTTTATGTCAAAATTTTTTTTATTACAACTAAATTTTCCTTGGTTGATGCTCATATTTCGATCACTAAAACCAAGTGTTTATTTTGTCTTTCGACTGCCGACTACAGAAAATGGTTTTGCATTTCAATTTTGTAATCAACGTTCTGCTAAGAACGACCATCTTTTCAAGGCACTCGCCTCGTAATTGAAAAGAGGTGCACTAACAAGTTTAAGCAAGTCATTCAAGTGACAAAGGTACAACCGAAACTCTTCTTTTGCTAAATCTCGAATTAGAATCCTTGTCTTACAATTTTCCTGTCTTTGATCAGTTGATACGAACATCATCACAACTGAAAGCTGCGTTAAGAAATTTTACTCTGCTGTTTGCGGATTTACCGTAAAGTTAGCGCCTAAACCTCTTCTCTAATAACTTGCATTACCTTTGAAAATCAAAATAAAAACCGATTATTTTTATGCCATTTTTTTAACTTTTAATTTGAAATACTGTCACTCGTCTCGACAAGAACATTAATTGGTTCTAATCATTTGGAAGCAATCGAGCGCTGTCTTAAGCACGAAAACAGCCATCGTTAAAACCCTCTGATCAGACTATTACTTGTTTTAATAAAAGACTACAGATGCATTTCAAGCAACTTCACTTTTTATCTCAGGTTTTGTAATTGAAAGAGATTGCACCGAGGTACCCTAAGGAAAGAATTCCGAATCAGCGAGGAATTATGAGTAGTATCTGCTTATCCCTACGATACATTTGCTTTGATGAAGGGCTAACGCTGGAAACGTCAGCTTTATATACCCTTGGCTTTTCCGTGACGAACTCAGACTATCAAATCAGCAAATAAAACCACATTATCTTGAAGTGTCCCCCCACCAATGCAGTATCAGTTTTTTTAGAACTTACCCCTTTTACCCATTTGCCTTATAAGAATATTATTGTATTTAAAAAAGAGTGGTCAAATACCACAGTGATTAAGAAAATTAAGGAATATGATGGATTAAGGTCTACGATGTGAGTCATTGTCAGTGTTCTTTAAGAAAATAAGATAAGCTCGTGAGCCATCTAGGTTTTGAAGACGGTTTAACTCAGGGTACTTCTTTTAATGCTGTTATAAAGTGAATTTGTAGTCACTTGCTGCTCCGTGCAGTTTTGCGACTGTTTTATCTAGTTATAAATTTAGATCACCTCTTGAGAATTAAGAAACGGCTAATGATTAAGATCATTTTGACTGTGCACGGATTGCAGCAATAGGTTTGACAACTGTAGGTGTATTTAAGACGGTGGATATTGACTGTTTGGAAACGTTTGTCTCAGACAAATCAGGTTCGAAATCAAAATCACATTTGAATCACATCAAGTCCGTCTACTCTTTCAGCCAGTTACAAGGCAAGGATGAAGTTCGAGCACCTTCTGTAACTAATAAAAAAGAAAAAAAAATTCAAGTTAAGTCAGGAACTCGCATAGGCGAGAGATTTTCTGCGTCACCCGCACTCATATAAGATCGCCTCTTCAATGAACTTTACTACAGCCGCATTGCAGGGCATACAAACCCTTGCAGAGCCTGTATTTGACACAACTTATACAAAGGATGATAAACAAGTGGTGATCCTTAGCTACTAAGTTAAGGCTTTACTGTATTTGAGATACAAATATCGCAATCAATAGGTGTACCTTTTCAGGGTATATATTACGAAATAAAGTTTAAAAAATGGTTGAAAAACTACCATCGGTCGTCACATACTTTCAATTGAGTTCTTCCTCCATATAGGTGGCGTATGTGAATGTTAAAAACAAGCATTGACATCAGGCTTGTCATTCCACAAATTCTTTGATTTTTAAATCTATCGAGTTTATCAAATTTCGCAGTTTTTGAATGCGTTGTTGGGCAGATAGTTTCGACGTTAACAGCAGATGAAAATCTGTTTTTTGGCCAAAGTGAAAAGCTCGAAGTTGCTTTGTTTTACCAGTTGATGATTTTGAGTGACCGTTTTCGAAAGATGTTTATTCATTTCATTAAATAGTTCTTCGTTTTCTTTTAATGCTTCAAATCATCGATTAACATACTTATTCAAATTTTTGTTTGCTTTCTTTGTCCCAATGCACGTAACAAGTCTTTTGAATGCACTTGAAATTAAACGAAGCCTAGGTCTTTTGTGTTTTGTGTATTCAGGCTTGGTAGACCTTACGCCAAAGGCCAATGTGAGTTCTTTAAAGGGCCTCAAATGACAGAAAAAATTCATTTGAGAGCGTTGCTGTTTGAAGATGATTTCGCTCATTATATTTGCCCTTTTGAGCATCTTTGAACCATCTTTTACGGAGGGTAAGTTAGGAGTTCTGGAAAATTGATTTGTTGGTTTGAGTTGAAAACATTTTGTTATAATATCGCTCTTTAATGCATTAAGTGAGTGATGTTAGGATGTGTAACACTAGGAAAAACATCTGAGTTCTTAAAAACTCCAGCTAACTCCGATCCATTAGGTTTAATTTACCAAGGTGTTGACACCAAAATATCATCTACAATAGTCAAAACATTAAACTCATTGTGGGCATTTTAAAGTTAAAAACACTCTCAAAATTGCCATTTTCTAAATTTCGATTGGCCAGAAAAATATGCGACAATTAGTCAAAAAAAAAAAAAGAAAAAAAAGAAAAAAAAGAAAAAAAAGGAAAAAAAAATGGAGAACAGTTATAAAAAAGAAGAGAGAAAGTTGCACGAACTATGATTTTTCCGTATTACTTTAGTCACTTTAGGGATGTGCATAATTTTATACTTCTCGTTTGTGCACAAAGGTGAGTTTTTTAACTCTTTATTAAAATCTTATCGCAGGATGTGGTATGCGTCCTGCTTTCGCCCGTGTGGTGAATGGTGAAAATGCCACGCCCCACTCCTGGCCATGGCAGGTTTCTCTCCGTGTGAGAGGTGGACACATCTGTGGTGGATCCCTAATCAGACCTGACTGGATCGTCACAGCAGCACACTGTGTCTATAGAAATCCCAATCCAAGTGGATACACAGTTGTCGTGGGTAATAAGTTGTTTTGTTTAATCCATTCATGAGTTGAACACCTTTCACAGGTAAAGGCTCAGGGTAATCAAAATTAGGTACGAGACGAAACAAGCGCACATGATCGGGGCACAGTTAGTAAGTAATTGGACGGTGTCCACTACCTCAATTAGGATGCGTTCTAATCTAAAATTTAGTCTGAAGTCTTTCGTTATCATCCTCACAATAGGGGCACACAGGCGACGAGGAACCACACCTGTGCAGCAGACGTTTCAAGTTATAACTCTCCACAAACACAGTGTCTTTACCATGAGGAACTTGAAACATGACGTTGCAGTTCTTCAGCTGGATAAAAACGTACGGTTGAGTGACAAAGTGAATACAGTTTGTCTCCCAAACAAAGCTGCAGATTTAAATTCCAAGTGTTACATAACAGGTTTGTAGTTATATGACCTAAGTTGTTGGCTGTGGAAAAACTGCTTGATATGGTCTGTTTTCTTGCTATGGAGTCGGGGCGGTGTAGATGAAGATCTAGGCTATTCGTTCCAGAAGAAGAAGTATTTCGCGTATGACCAGTAATACTGACGATCATTATCTCGTACCCTAAGATAGGCAACGAAGAAGCTTTAAAAAAAAGTCACCATTTATGAAAAATAAACAATATAACTAAAACATTTATTGTACAAATTTTTAGCTGAGACTGCCATACTAAGCTCTTTAGTTCCATAAAACTTTCTCCTAAGGGGGGTGGGGTTCTACAAGTTGCCAATATACGTCCAGGGAACATATTCCAATAATGTACTTTGCTGCTAGGTTGGGGACGCATCAGTGGTAACGGACCAGCAGCAGACATACTGCAGCAAGCCAAGCTCCCGCTTGCATCGCATGAGGCTTGCAAGAGAAAGTACGGTGGTACAATTGACAGTCGAGCTCATTTGTGCGCTGGAGAAGGTCGAAGTAGTGCTTCAGGGGGATGCAATGGCGACAGCGGTGGCCCGCTTGTTTGTGAGATGGGAGGCAAGTGGTACCTACACGGTGCTGTCAGTTTTGGGACGCGAAGTTGTCCAACAACCCACTTTACAGTTTTTGCCAGAATTACTACATACAAGTCGTGGATATTGCAAAAGATAGGTGAGACTAGGTGTTTTACCTTAACTTATAATGTAATAGCTGTTTAACATAAAAAAAAGATACGCTTTTTTTTTGAGCAAAATCCTCCCTCGATTACGTGAATATTTTACGAATGTGAAAACCAGCTAATGCCGGCTGAAATTCATTGTCATAAATAGTTGCTTTTGACGAAGGCTACGGGTTGCCAGTTGAAATCATAATTTAAATTGATAAAATCAAGTAATTCTTTACAGTCGTAATTGGCTAATGTCGTTTTTGCTTTTAGGTCTAAGGAAGATCATGACGAGTTTTTTAAGAAGAACTGGTTTTTGAACATTTAGTATACCATTATAAAATGCATTTAGGGAAATTATATTAATTACAGCAAAGTCTAAGAGGGCAACCATTCCAAGTTTTCCTTAACAATAGAGCTGCACGCCATCAGCTGGTTGGGTGTTTTGTTCTCTCATGCAGCAGGAACTAACTGAATAGAAATTAAAGAACCGTGGATCGTGGAAAAGTGGACATCTATTTAAGCTGAGAATATTTAATCAAAGTTGAATACGATAAAATTTTAGACTTGTTTCCAGGAGAGGGAAGCGGAGGACCCAACACCCCAATGCCTCCTCAGACACCTCGTCCGCCCAGTGAGTATAAATAACGATGTTTTGTATCAGAACTGTCTGTCTGTAGCAGTAAAACGCCGTATCTCGCCAATATTTACAAAAAGAGCAAAATGGACAGGTAAAATACACTTCTTTTCAATTTTACAGCAATAGGCTTTCTATTAAGATCAATTTTTTAGCTTTTTGCTTATTAATTAATTTTTGGGAGTGGCGGAGGGGGGAGGGGGGAAGGAAGAGGGAGGGGGGGCGACGGGAGATTAATAGAGTGGTTGCATATCGGAAAGTGGATCCCCATTCAGCGCTCGATAAAAATCGGCAAATCGTTTCGGTCGATGAAACACTATTACCAGTTCGAACTTTTCTTTATGGGCAGATTTTTGTGTGTGCGCATATTAAGTCTCAATGCGCTTACACCTATAAAACCAATCTTCAACACAAAATAACTATTAAACAATAAATAAGTAAAAACATATAAAACTATTCTCATAGTTTAAAGAAAAAAATTCCGAAATAAAAAGGATTTTAGGGCAGCTTTGAGGGATGAACCAAAACAGTACTTTTAAAGGAATTGGGTATGATCAGTATGATCATTATGATATAAGCCATATATTAAACAAACTTAAGCTGTTACACACCATTAAATAAAACTGCAACTCAACAGACTGAAAAATGAGTCAAATGCCAGTAACTTAGGAACGAGAAAAAGTTATATCAGAAAAGGGAAAACACAGTGTTCTGCTTTTTTAATCGGACGTTGTAAGGAAAATGGGGAAGGGATGAACATTAGCTTGATTCGCCGACTAAAGCAATGAAAACAACCTCTTGCACTAAAAATTATAAAAAAGACGTGGGCAGAGGTAGTATGGATGGAAGGCTTTGAAGCTCGGCGATGCCCATTCGAAGGTTATTGAGCATACATTTTGTTACAGCTTCCTTTCTTGACTGTGATGATGACTTCCGCACAGATTGTCGAAACGTCAGTTACTACCACCGACAACAGTCCTTCTCAGGACTACACTCAACGGGACGATCACACTACACTTTCAAAGCTTCCTTTCTGCTGCATGCTTTTATAATCAGCATTTTGAATTGCTTTTATTTCTTTGCACTCCTCAAACAGGCTGCAATGACAGAATGGGTTCACGAAGATGCTCCCTCGTCCGTAGATACGGGTATTGCCGATACAACCAATACAAGAATAAATACTGCCGCAAGACTTGCAGATCTTGTAAGTTAATTTAAAGCATAGATTATTCTTGATTGAAAATTGGAGCAAGATGAAATAAGAGGAGAGGGAGAGAGAGAGAGAGAGAGAGAGAGAGAGAGAGAAATAAAGCGTTGCATAATTGTGAACTGAAGAAGCTCGCGCTTGTCCAACATCCTACATGACGCCTTTCGTTTCATTGACACCTTAACCATATCACATGCTTAGCCAAACAGAATCCTTGTCTCCTACGATTCTGCTGTCATACTCACCTCTTATTGGTGCATTCTGGTCACGTGGACCTGATCTTGTTCTGTAATTGGCCTCCAACCTAATAAGAGCCCTTCACCTCCACCACCTATTGTCTTCGGCGCATATTTCGATGTCAGGTCTATTGTGGTTTAATCTCGCTCTCAATGACTTTGGAATACATCCCATCAACTTTGTTCAAACCACCAATAAAACACAACATCTTTTCTTTTCAATAGGTTGAAAGAGATCAGTTGTCTACATTTATTAAAGAAAGCAACACACGGACACTCAGACAGGGATTCAACATTCAACGAGTAGATTAAAACTTTTGTCCTTTCAAGAATAAAGAAGCTGCAAAGAAAAAAGAAATGAGAAGTTTTTGCGTTTTATGATTTTCTTAGTCTGCAACAGAGTTCTTTCATTTTACAATACTGGGTTCTTGTTTACTGAGCTGACATCATTATGCAAGTCGTGTTATACAAATATTCCAATTTCAGCTTACTTGAACAGCAACTTCTCTTCCTTCACTAATATTCATATAAACTAAGTAGTTGTTTTAGTACAATAGAGTCAAAGAAGATGAAATAAGTGCGTGAACTGTGACTTTATCGTCAGGGGGATAAAATGAATATTTTGGGAGTTCGCTGTTTAACCACTGATAGAAAAACACGATTCAACATGCGGAAGCACTATGTTCTCTTGAAATTCTATCTCCTATCATTTCCAAAGCGACACTTAAGACTTAAGGTCTCGTAATGACTTTCAATTTTGGCTTTTGGTTGTTTTTCGATGTTAAAGGAGATATATGTCGATGCCAGATTTTTCATTTAAAAACCACCTCAGGCTTCTCTATTCTTAAACACGCTCCAATATTGTTTTATTTTCCCCTATATGAAAAAATATTGCATGATTCCATTTGTTTATCCTATCCGAAGTGTCCCTGACGTTCGACATGACTTAAAAAAAGGGCCGATGATTCTGTAAGGGGGACAAAGTTTCCAGACTCTTTCGTTTACCCAGGTAAATTTTCCTTGTAACTTTGCGTATTGCTTAACAATTCTCTCCGTCAACACACCTGACAAAAGGATGCCTTTTTTGTCAGTCTGAGAGAAACATTCCAGCCCCTAATCAAACATAAGCAACTCAGAGTAGTAATTGGTTACAAGGCAGCCTTAACAACGTACACAAGGTTGGAAGATGTTTTGTGAACTCAGCTTTAGCAAATTTGGGCAGCTGTTACATCTGTGCTTGGCGCCAATAGAATAAATTAAAGGTGTAGATGGTTTTGTTTTTCACGAGAACGCAGAAATAGGATAAATTCGTTTTAAGCATGATTTTCTCTGTCTTGCTGCTACTGGTCATTTTGGAGCCTTCATTTTCCGAAGGTAAACACGAAAATAATTGAGCTTGCAATATTTCATTAGTTGGTCGTGCAGATTTTCAATTCAAAACCTAATGCATATATTTTTGGTGAAGCTACTGATATCAGATAAGTTGAACTATTGCACTCTGCTAGCTTAAAAAGACTTTACATTTAATCCTGGTTGTCGACAGAGGAGTGAAAATGACTTTTCGCGTGGTTCGCACCACTAGAGATTCTGACACGGTCATTTCTCGTTCCTCTTCGTTTGGAATTATCTTTGTTAACTTGATCGATTTTTACCTTTCTACTGTTTTTTTCTATCCATGTAAAGTGTGATTTCATCGCATCATTCCATTCAAGAGCAATTCTCAACAACCTAAACAGGAAAAAAACAAAAACAAAACAAAAACAAAACGAAATCTCTATCATTGAATGACTCTGTGATCCTTTACTCATTGAACTATGATCATTTATAATTATGGCCACAGGAAAATGAAAAAGGCTTTATTGTTGTTGCTCCATTTTCAAATCATCAGGATGTGGTATGCGTCCTCACTTCGGGCGGGTAATCAACGGTGAGGATGCCAGTCCTCATTCCTGGCCCTGGCAGATTTCTCTCCGTAACTCTCGAGGGGGACATATCTGTGGTGGATCCCTAATCAGACCAGACTGGGTCTTGACTGCAGCTCACTGTGTGGACAGAAATCCAGATCCAAATGCATACACAGTGGTTGTGGGTAAGATAGCGGGTCCTCTTGATACGAGCACCTAATATTGATCAGATTTGGCTGGATAAAACATTGTCATTTAGGAAAAAAAAGTTTCGCTTTTTACCCAAAATCATCCATTTTAAATATGCGTTCACTAGTCTAAGACAGTTGTGAAAAACATTCAGAACAATTACTCACATCCAATTGAAAAAGAAAAAAAAGAAAATAATTCTTTTGCCGTGCGTCTGTCCAGTAATAGATCACAGATGACGTCGAAATGTGGTCTAAAAAAAAAAAAATATGGCACACAAGGTGTAGCTTCGGATTATTTCAATTTTTGATAGAAAATCTATGAAATTAGCGGTCAGAATTACAACCTCACCAGTCGGAGACAAGGGAGCTGCACATGAAAGATGTTTTTCAATAAAACACCGAATATCTTAGCAAATTCATCGAAGAAATGTAAGACAGCAATGGGGAATCAATATCTTGGCTTATTTATCGAAGAAATGTAAGGTAGCAAGGGAAAATTAATATTCCTGTTAGGATCATGGGAGATTTAGGGCCAAGAATCACGCCAGTATTGCTTTTGTGCATCTAGGTGCTCATATGCGAACTGGAATGACGGATGTTCAACAGACGTTTCGAGTGAAGGCACTTTACAAACACAGTGGTTTTACCATGAGGGAGCTCAAACACGACATTGCCCTGTTACAGTTAGAAAAGAATGCACAGTTAAGCGAAAAAGTTACTACTGTCTGTCTCCCGGACAAAGACGCAGACTTGAACTCCAACTGTTACATAACAGGTTTGATGTTTCTTTGTTAGCCTGCTCTGAGTCTGCAATACATTATATGATAAAACACTATTGATTAACCATAGGGAGTTTAAGATGTCATCTTGGCGACGTGTGGGAAATGCTGCCGGAAACACGAACTCCCTAATTGCCTCAGAATTTTGCTTGTAGCTCCGTGCGTTTTCTGTTCCTGACGGTGCGACACCTTTCCTTCTCCTCTCCATGCAGATAAGTTGTTTCCCAACTCACGAGCTTTTCTTTTAACTTTCACGAAAAGCATCTGTGCAGTTCACATAAAATATATATATATATATATATATATTTTGCCTTTAATTGCCCAGGTTGGGGCCGCACTCATTTTGGATCAGCAAACACCCTTCAACAAGCCAAGCTTCCACTTGTGTCGCACAGCGATTGTAGGAAGATTTGGCGCACACTTGATAGGAGTGCTCACTTGTGCGCTGGAGAGGGACGTGCCGGTGCTTCAGGAGGGTGTCATGGGGACAGCGGGGGTCCACTTGTTTGCGAGATGGGAGAAAAGTGGTACCTACATGGTGCGGTCAGTTTTGGGATGCGTGGATGCCCAACAACCCATTATACGGTCTTCACAAGGATTACCAGCTACATCTCCTGGATAAACGAGAAAATGGGTTAGTAATTCGTTTTTTTATTAGGCTTGAATTTTTTCTAGACCCACCTAATAAGCTCGATTACTCCGATTTCAACACGTCTGTGATTAGCGAAAAACACTTCAAGGGAATTGAAATTAAAGGCATTCACTGACGATAATGTTGTTGATTCTATTTGCCTCAGAATGGATTAACGTAAACTAGTACCACTACTTAATAAACTATTTTCTATTGTGTGCTTGCCTGATTTTTCATTGACAGGGGAAGATACAGGAGGACCAAATCCACCACCACCACCCCCACGGACACCAGGCCCTCCCCCACCAGTTGCCACTACAAGACCACTACGTCCGCCAAAGCCTGGTGAGTAGATGGAGTCAAGTTTTGAAAATGGCTAATTTTTAGATTTAGCTCAGGCTAATGCGAAAATTTCTCAATGAATCTACTTGTTGTCGAATATATAAAATTTATCTTGTAAGGTAGTCAAGAAAAAAGGAACGTGCATGTCGTAAATTCATCAGACCTATTGCAGGTGACCTTAACTTGATTCATTATCACAGGTTGCAAGGACAAATGGGGCGAAGATTATTGTCGTAATCATCGTCATCTCTGCGGTTCAATGCCATTTTTGAAGAATTATTGCAAACGAACTTGCGGAGTGTGTAAGTGCAGAATACTAGTTTTTTTGTTTTATTATGACTGAACGTGATAATAGTGCTGCTGTTGATCAGCATTCCCAGTTCATTGGCGAAAGTACGAATCTCTGGCTCTTAACTCTAACACTAATTTACAGCCTTGTCTTTTAGAACACTAGTTTGCATATGGATGTTTAAAAAATGCCACTGAAACAATCTGCGTGCTAAAGTCATAACACTAGAAATTAATTTGAGCCAAACACAAACGGGACCAAAAAGTGGACTGAAAACATTAAAAGCGCGGTGGTTTCATTAATGTTTATCATAAGGATCGGCATATCAATTTGTTTTATCTATCAATCTATTAACAGGTTGAGAAGAACGGAAGAAAGTCTGGGGAAGTATGAAGACTTCCAATGAAGCGAATTTATGACAATAAACCTAAAGCAAATTCTGATGAATGTAATACGTAGTCACTCAATGATGTAATCCTGTTTATCCATTTATTCAAATCAACGTTGAAAATATTAAAGTACTCCAACATGCAAAAAATCTATACTGTGTAAAAAAAAACAGACAGAAAAATAAACAACAATAACAACAGCAACAAAAAACGCTTTGTTATCATACCACAAAGACAATTTACAGTTCACTTTTATAGTTTTGTTGGAAATATCAAAACCTTTCCAAAATGAAATAATTCATAACTTTTTTTTCTATAATCACATTTAGCAAATTCTAGAAAGAAAATGAAGTATGGGATTCAATCATTCTCCTTTTTCTTCCCCATGTTACGTTCATCATTTTTCTTGGCCCTTCAGTCCTATCATCAAAAACGAAACAGTCTTTTTTTTTCACGGCTGGCCGGGCTTCATCCTTAATAAAAGTTTTTTCAATCCTGGCCTTGATCAAGTTTCAGACGAATAAGACATTTCTTAAGTCTAGGAATTAAGTTTGTAGATATGCTTGCCTATTCCTAAAGCATTCCTGTTCGCAAGATTTGAAGGCACAGTCGTGTTAGACTGGAAGGCGGCCAGATACATTCAAGGGGTTTGAAAAGTATACAAAAGTTCTCCTGTAAATATATGATCAATTGTTTCCCAGGGCAAACCTTGAAGACAAATATTTACTTCATCTGCTAAGGAGCGCGAATAGAATATGTTGAGGGTTTTCGGGAGCACATTCACCTAAGATTGGCAGGCTGTCATATGCATACAGCTGGTTTTAAAATATTTGACTAGACACAGAAACGTTACTTGATTTTTCTGGTCAAGAGGTATGCACAGACATTTTCCAGGGCTTTTCATTATCTTTTTAAGTGTCCTTACTTCTAACAATGGTCTAGGTCTTATTACCATTGTAAAAAATAAATAAATAAAAAACGTCCGTCTTGAGGTGTTATTATGACTTAAACCGTCGAATACACTCAATTTTGCCGATTGATAGGTTATGCGCCAGATTCCACTGTGGAATCAGCTTCTGCAAACTACGCCAGGTGGTAAAAACAGATCCTAGCCCGCTGGCTCAAATCGCATGATATATATATATTTTCTGAAACGAGGGATATCCAGAAATGATACAGGACTAACCTAAAGGGTGTCAAGATGATCGCTTATATCTTCTTGGTCCTGGTTGTGTTTGAGCCGACTTTTTCTGAAGGTAAATTTATGCTTTTTTTCCCTCGGTTATATCATTTTTTTGTTTTAATTTCATCTAACGCAATCCCTTTTTCTCCTTGTTTTATTTTTTTCTGGTAGACATTCCTACTCACTTAGAACAACATAATCATAAGACATATTTTGGATATTGTTTGAGCATGATTGCAAAACTTTTGCCTTATGAGTCCTCAATCAATCAGCAGAAAAATGAGAAATTCATCGTTTTAAAAGAAGTGTCTGTTTTGATCCGTGTGATAATAAAGTTTGTTTTCATAGTGATGCAATATAGGCACCCCTCTTAACTTCATCACTACTCAAAGAAAAAAAATTGTCTCCCTTCAAATAAAAGTTTAGAATTACCACGGGAGAGACGGCCACTTAGCAATTTCTTTTAGGCATAACTAACTAAAGATGAGACATTAGAGTCCACTTAACATGAATTAAGATCTTAAGAACTACACGAAGGAGCCTTTGAGTTTAATTGGAGGTATGTTTGAAAGTGAATCGCATCATTGAATAAAATCTCGTATTCTGATTGGTTAACGAAGCGAGGTATTTTGCGTGGAATTGCGAGTTGAAAACGAGGCTAAGTGATATTGTTTCGCATCTACGTAAACATAACAATTTTAGGTTATGCTGTTTCCTTTTTTTACTCATTGTTATTCAGTTATGCGATTCAAGGAAAATCCATTGCTTCACTCGTGAATTCCGCATTGAATTGCACTTGAAAATCGTTATCGCACTCATCGCTTCGCGATTCGTGCGATATCGGTTTTCAAGTGCAATTTAATGCGGAATTCCCTCAACAAGTAATGAATTTTCCCATAGAATTATCTTGGGTTATTTGATGAACGATGGTTGTTTGGGTGCGCTCTTCAAACTATCGGAGCACCGCATATCTCAGGAATGCACAGCGCTCGCAGCCGTTATCAATTGATTTTTAAAATCAGTTTCAAAGCTACAGTTATGACCTAGTTTTAAGAGGATTCTGCTGCTTAACTTCAATGCATACACACTGACCTCATCAGATTTGCTAGCTTTGTCATGATATATCAAACAATACAAGCTAGCCGACGAACCGCACAATTGTAGCAATTTGTCAATTTTAGGATGTGGAATGCGCCCTCCTTTGGCCCGTGTGGTGAATGGTCAAAATGCCAGTCCCCACTCCTGGCCATGGCAGATTTCTCTTCGCGTGAGAGGTAGACACATCTGTGGTGGATCCCTTATCAGGCCTGACTGGATCCTAACTGCCGCACATTGTGTGGACAGTAATCCATCGCCGAGTGCGTACACAGTTGTAGCGGGTATGAAAGCAATTCTTCTGAATTCAGTTACAATATAGAGATGTAAAATCGCTTAGCTTTGTTTTTTATATCGTTTACCATTCGATATATCCTTTTTTTGCATTTCTTGCAATTTTTCTGAGTCAAATCTGAAGCGCTAGAATATATTAAGAATCGCTAATGACTTTGGTCAGAAAGAGCACTGTATTTTGACTTGAAGTTACATTGATTAGTTTTCCTTTGATGACTGCAGGTGGTCATAGGCGAACCGGAACTACGTCCGTTCAGCAGACTTTTCGAGTGATAACCCTTCATAAACACAGCGGTTTTTCCATGCAGAATCTAAAGCACGACATAGCAGTTCTTCAGCTGGAAAGAAATGTAGAGATGAGTGATAAAATTACAACAGTTTGCCTCCCACAACAAGATGCAAATTTGAATTCTGAGTGCTATATAACAGGTCTGTTTTATTTTCTATAGCACCTCTAGATTTAAAGATTGGATTCTTTACAACATTACAGAGGTGAAGGAGGCGCTTTTGGTTGCCAGAACTTGATAGACGTCCCAATACATTTGTCGAGGATTTTCGCCTTGATAAAAAAAATAATGCTGAGTTAAGGGACTGCTCGTAATTTATCACGAAGGGGAAGAGAAGGGAGAGGGAAGGTTGAAGATTTTGGTTGGGTCACGATACAATCCACGTACCTGATCCTCCTAGGGCTCTGTTATGCTCTTATGTTTCGTCACCCGTCATAATCTGTTGGTGATGACTCATCCCCACCCCTCCGTTCCCTTTAAAACCTAGTGTGTCCCTCCAAAGTCCTCCCCTCCCGACAAATGATATAGAATGAACAGTCCCTAAAGAAACACATTTCGAAGCCACGGTTTGCTCTCTTTCTTAACTTCTTAATTGCTGATTGTTTTAGGGTGGGGCCGTACATCTGGTGGCGGGGCATTGCCAGAAATACTCCAACAGGCCAAACTTCCACTGGTGTCCCATGACGATTGTAAAATGAAGTACGGTGTGGTGGACAGGAGTGCTCACTTGTGTGCTGGAGCGGGACGTGCTGGTGCCTCAGGAGGGTGCAATGGGGACAGCGGTGGTCCACTCGTGTGCAATGAAGGTGGCAGGTGGTATTTGCATGGAGCTGTCAGTTTTGGAAAACGGGACTGTCCAACAACCCACTATACAGTTTTCACAAGGATCAAGAGCTACAATTCGTGGATATTGGGGAAAATAGGTTGGTATTGTTTATAACACGGTCTCAATAAGTGTTGAAATATAAATATGAAATGTGACAACTTCCCCTCTTAGCTTATATGTTTTTTGACTTAACTATAGCCTTTCTTTTTTCTAGTTAAAAGAATGATCGGACATCTGATTGAAACATATAGTTTTTCCTATTTTGATAGTCAATACTGAAAATGACAGGCTTTTCTTCAAGAATTCAATTCTGAAATTAATTCGTTCTCTTTTATATTTATGATAGGGGGAGGAGGCGGCGGGCCTAACCCCCCACCCCCACCCACAGGAACCGCACAGCCCCCACCTCCACCACCACCACCGACGCAAGCACCACCACCACCACCCAGTAAGTAGTGAATTTAACAATAGTCACTCTCACATGTTCGATGTCAATGTTCTAGAGATTTGTAGTTCTTCGTTTTTGTTTGAGATTTACCCTGCATGATATGACAGCAGATATTTCCTTTCTTAGAAATATATTCTATTTTTATATAAGAAATTAGATACAAAGTTCCGTATGAGGGCTGTACTGTACGACCCCGTGACATGTGAGGTAAATGAGGAAAGGAAGAAAAAGGCAGAACGACGGTCGGTGTATCATAAAATGCTGGGGCTTGAAGGGAAATTAAATAAATAATTTTTCTCCTCGATACAGGTTGTGGGGACAAGTGGAATGCGTGCAAAGCAAATAAACATTACTGCACAACGTCAACTGTGATAAAAGAATTATGTCCAAAAACCTGCAATGCATGTAAGTAATTCCAAAAAAACAATAAACAAGATATTAAGAAAGAGCTCAGTAATCAGATAAACTTTGACTAATTGCACTTATTCTTCCATTAAGAAAGGGGAACCAAATCCTTCGCCTGAACTAAACAGAATGTCCTCAGTAACACAGGCTTTTGATTACTCTATGTCGTCCCAATCAAAAGTATCTAACAACACACCTACATGCCATGCTGGTCTTTGCCAGTCCCATGGATCATCGGATATTTTCATTTGCAAATAATCACCTGATGCTAAATATCAATCAGTCGATTAATATTAACTGATTCTATTTTCATTAATTTTTCTTAATCAAATGGTATGTAATGAGAAAGGTTTGGGCTGCAGAAGATAGAGCTTTCCCAGCTCTCTACCGAATGTGGGGCTTTTTTCTCATCCCTGAATATCCTGAGTCAGGTGCAAGATCGAACGATTCATGTATTTTTTTTTTCAGTCAAGAGTTTAATCTTTTTGAAACTGGGAACTCACCAAGTATCTTTCGCTATGGCCACACTGCATAGATATCCATGCAAATACGAAAAGAAAATGAAATAAATAAAAGATTAAGGAGCAAAGAAATGAGAAGAAACTTTGGAACTGAAGGAATTGTGGGTAGGGAGGTAGCTTGATACTTTCTATTTTATTTTGTTGCTCAACAGGTTAGATTTGAAAAGCATCCAACAGAGGTTTGGATTTAATTGTGGGAAAAGGATGATTCAAACTTAAATAAAGTTAAAATAAAATTGGAGTTAAGCTGAAAAATGAATGAGCGTTTCCTTTTTGGTGTATTTTTATTCTTGTCCAATCTTTCTTTTTTTTTTTCTGCTTTTTTTTTTTTCGGAGGGGAGTCATAAGGTTAATTCAAGGGTAATAAAGAAGAATCTTTTTGTGGTTGATCTGGTCGGGTCGCTTATATATGGATTGGGTTAAAATTCGGTTAACCTTGCTCGTATTATCTAGCACTGTCTAAACAACGCTGATTTCTTTTTAGCATACTATATTTAAAATTCAGAGCTTTGGGTGGAGGAAAGACACTGAAGATTGCTTTAGAGTTAACTAAATTTTAAGGAACATTAATTGGCAAAAATTCCATCTTTCAAGTTTGGGTTCACGAGGGAAAAAGGGCCATATATGGTAGAAGCAAATCCTGACACGAATTCGCCCGGAGTTCCAGGGAACTCGCTATAAGAAACGAATGTGTGTATTTCCTTACATTCCCTTAAGTTAATTAGTTATACAGTGTTCTTTTTTTATCGACAACAGAAAAAACCTCGCGACCTATTTCATATCACTCCTAATTCTCGTGATTAATGTACGAAATACGTACTCAATTATCAAACCCATCCTATACGCCCATTCACGTCGAGCTCCTAAAACTCGCATCCCTACAACCATCAAACAGCCATCAGAAGACTGCCACCCAGTTAGCCCAATGGATGGTGCTCTGGACTGTAGTGTGGTAGGTCGAGGGTTCGAGCCCCGGCCGGACCAACACCCAAGGTCTTAAAATAATTGAGAAGAATTTGCTACCTTTCTATAACATCAAGTAATGGTTAGATATTCTAGTCTTCTCGGATAGGGACGAATAAATGGAGGTCCCGTCTCCTGCAGGGTTGGGGTAGGAGACGTTAATTTCCCACACACGAGATTATTACTGTGTGATGGATGTCCTCCCCTGGGGTGGGATGGTGGGATGTATAGGCCCCCAATTAAACCAGCTTCAAGCTGAACTGGGCCGGCCTGTCTAAATATCGTAAATACATTCTAGTCTGCTTGTTCAAAAGCTCAAAAGTAATGGAAACAATAATCGAACATTATCGTGAAAGTCGCGAGCTATGGAAGATGCGTGAACGATATCTTAATTGAACGGAAATAAAATTAAATATCGCGGATTATTCCAAATCTATTAAACAAGATATATCACTAAGCTCTTGGAAAATAATAATTTTTCTGACCTTTAAACCAGTTGATGTTGTTGTTGTTGTTGATTTTTTTTTAAGGCCGGGGAGTAAACATTTTTTTTTTCTCCCAACAAAACATTACTGCATGCCAACGATACTTCGGCAAGATTATCCCAAGAACCCCGTTCTTCATTGTGAATTAATTATAAGTGCTTGGATAAAATAAAACAGTGGCAAGGACAAGTTCGATTAATTTCGGAACTACGGTTTTGTTCTTAAACTTTTACAAAATGATTCCTATATTTCTTTCGTACACAGCAAGATATCGCCTTTTGGTATATCCCTATCCCACATTCCCAGCTCTCTATCGAGAGCTGGCCTGAAGTCAGTGAATATTTTGTTAGTTGAGACTGGGCTTGCTTTCTCTCACGAGAATAGAAGTGAAGTTGACTTTGCGCAGCTTAAAGAAAAGCTTATCACAGGAAAAGACTTTTCAGAGCAACAAACGCGCCAGTTGACGCTGTCAATCACAATGCATTTTATCATCCATCAAAGCAATAGCGCTAAAACTGATACACGGCTAATTAGTTACCCATCGTGAAGATGGTTTTGTCAGGTGGAAGATGTGCTTGCAGCCATTTACAGGTGAGCAAATAATGGTACGTCATGTCTATGAAATAACAATAGTTTACCAAATAGAAAAATATTATCTCTTGGCTCAGTTAATGAAACTCACAAAAAAAGCGAATTTTCTTTTTGTTGAGAGGTTGCAATTTGCAATTGGAATGATATACAGCTGAGATATGTGCCAACAAACTGTTGGGTAAGCATTGTAAAAAATATATTTATAAACTAGTCGCCAAAGTAATTGGAAGATCTGATCCCACTCGTCTTACAAGATGTCTCTCCTCGCAATTGCAACAATACTTCTTTCAATACTGGTTCCTTCATTCAGCCAACATGAAGCCGGTAAGTTAAATCCCTTCATAGCGCTGACCTAAGTCGGTATTGTTCATTCCGCGCTCTTTATCATGAGCTAGCCTGGATTCAGAAGAAATTTTGTTACCTGTGATCAGGGCTCCTCTCTCACACGAGAATAGAAGTGAATTTTACCACACGCAACTTCAAGAAAAGTTTATCACAGGAAAAGACCTTAAAAAAATCCAGCTATGGCAAGCTATAGTACCTGGCAGCTCTGTATACCTTCGACTGTTGCGAGTTGTCAATGCAGAAGTGCCATCAGAAGCTTCTAAAAGATAACCCATTCTCATTAGTAATCGGAACTTCAGAATTAACTGGAAGGTATCGGCTAAGAATTTATTTGGGAGCAATCGTAATGAGCTGAAAGTGACTCCTCTACTCAAATCTTTTTCTGTTCATTTCAGAATGCGGTAAGCGACCATTCTCAGCGCGAGTTGTTAATGGTGAGAATGCAGAGCCTCATTCATGGCCATGGCAGTTTTCTCTACGTGTTAACGGCCACCACATCTGCGGTGGATCTCTGATCAAACCTAACTGGATCGTAACCGCGGCTCATTGTGTACGAAATTTTCCATATCCACAAGGATACACTGTTGTAGTAGGTAAATAACTACGCTCGTTCCTCACTCAGAGTGTAAATATATCTACCGACTGAATATGATTCTTTACATCCGACAGCAATCAAGGAAAGGTTTCATAAAGAGCTTCCACCTTCTCAACCCCTCCCGAACCCTAAGAAAAACCGTCACCTCCATTGTAAACAGAGAAATTTGGACGCAGAAGATACCATAACATTTTATACCCAGTTTTCGAATCAGAACTCAAACCTGATAGCTTAAAGCAAAGACCTTACAATATACTTTGTTTACTAAAACTACCAGCTCTGCTTTTCTCACTTCATTTACTTTGTGTCACAGTTTCTCATTACTCCTCTCACTTCTTCCTTGATTACATAGGGGCGCATAGACGAAAAGGCACAACTTCTGTTCAAGAGGAGTTCGAAGTGCAAACTCTTTACAAGCACGATGGTTTTACCATGAACAACCTGAAACACGACATTGCCGTTCTAGAGCTAAAGGGCTCGGTGAAGATAAGTGATAAAGTGTCACCCGTTTGTCTTCCTACTGAAGAACCGGCACCTGGAACTGAATGTTATATTTCAGGTTTGAAACGTGAAATTGTTTGAAGCTATTTGCTGTGAAAGCTGCTAAGTGATCAACCGCCCCGTCGTTATCTAGCTATATTTTAAAAGTTTTCACCCATAAAATACCTTCAAATGGTTTGCTAAGAAATTTGTAATGGAACTAATTTATTGTTTAGAACGGCTTCAATAAATTAGCCAACACTGTGAGCAGGTTGAGCCTATCAAGAAGTTACTGCACAATTTGGAGGTGTCCCTTGGAGTAACTACAGCTATGTTAGATTTTCAACTCTATTCACTATAGGATGGGGACGTCTCCGAGGCGGCGGGTCCGCCCCTGATATCCTTCAGCAGGCGATGATACCAATAGTTTCCCACGAAGAATGCAAGAAGAAGTACGACCGATACGACAGGAAAGCTCATTTGTGTGCTGGACAAGGACATGCAAGTGGCTCAGGTGGATGCCAAGGGGACAGTGGTGGTCCTCTTGTTTGCGAGAAGGACGGCACTTGGTACCTGCATGGTGCTGTGAGTTTCGGGAAGCGAGGCTGTCCAACTAAGTACAACACAGTGTTTGCAAGAATCACGACCTACCTACCTTGGATAATGGACAAGCTTGGTAAAAAATTGCCTTTAATACTATCCTGTCTCCATAACAACACTGTGAAAGAGTGCAGTAGCATCGTACTGAAAAAGCCTCTAGCGACTCTTTATAGCCATGTCATATAAAGCTGGAAATCATTCTCGATCACAACTTGATATATTTAATTGCAATTAAACTTAGTTTGCCTTAGGATGACATTCCTCAATGATAGGCGTTTCATTTCTGTCTTTATTAGTTAACAGGCCACCAGCCCCAACATTGCCCCCCAAAACGCCTCCACCAGGTAAGTAAAAATAGTTCTACAGCAAACTATAGTCGTTTTAAGCTGCAAGCGCTCCATAAAAATATCTCCACTGTGGACATCATGATGATTTGATGATCTAGTTTTCTGAAAAAATAAGGTTTTTAGAAAGTTTTATAGTTTCTACATGTACTTTTCTATCCGTTTTCTTTCTTGCATTCCCCTCCAGGTTGCAAGGATAAGCGGGAAGACTGTGCTTCCAACAAGATGTGGTGTCGCTTCATGCCTGACATAAAAAGGAATTGCCCTTTCACATGTGACAATTGTAAGTTTAACTTTCCGACCGTAGTGTGCCGGGTAAAAATAAATTCAGCACACCAGCTCCGAGTATAAAAACAATAATTTTTCAGCTAAGTAATAACGAAGTGAAATCAATAGTGAGTCTTCAAGGACGTCAGTTATTTGCTTTCTCAGTACATAGACGTTTTAAATTGGCCAGTTCTTTTCATGATTGTCTAAACGGCTCGGTTAGAAAATAAGTAGATAAACGCTTCTTCTTACAGCTTTTGATTCTTTATTTCTTTCTCCCTAGGTTGAGTCCATAAAGCCATGGAGATCTCATTCCAAACTCATTTGTCTCAACACATTTGACAAAATCGATGGAAGCAATAAAATTATGTTAAAAAGCCCAACTTTCCTTGTCTGTGTTTATTGAAAATGTTTTAGTAACTGCCGAATAAGGCGGCACTGTATGAGAAGGACTGGGACAAAGTAGTGCGAGTATGGAGTATGGAAGAATTTGTTCTAACTCAAAAGTTTCCGTAATATTTTATTTTAACAAAGATAAGCTGGAAAAACAATACAAAACAAAACAAAAATCCAGCCAAAAGCACCCCTATCATTTCTTGCGCCGTGCCTGAGAGCCCAAGCAACTGAATCTTAATGAATACCGAAGGGAAGCAAATGAGTTAGAAGACTTATTGATCAGAAAATAAACAGGGTGTTGCTCTACTTACGCATCTTTTCTTGAGATGGAGAGGGTGGGGAGAATTAAAAACTTGTTGGTCTTTCGTCTCGAAACGAAGTATGTTTCTATGAAGATTAGAGCGTTGTTTGTCAGTCTGTTTTCAATTTTTTCTAATGCACCATTAAAGTTTTTTCTCAATTTGAGCATTTTCGTCCTGCTCATTTCAATTCCATTCTTACTCTTGATAACCTACCGAGACAATTTTTTCGGTGGCGCGTATAAAGCTGATATCTCAGTTCTAAATGACGTTATTGCCTCCTGTGCAAGTAGAGTTGTCGCTGATACTTGAGACTGCGCAAACAGGCTCATATCTTTGTGCATAAAATCTTCCACCCGGCCCCACATCACATCCTCTACCATAGGAGAGTCAGTCTTATTTCCAATTTTAGGTGTTTCGAACGGTATTTTACTAATTCACGATTTGTATATAAAGCAAGTTTCTTCATTGCTAACAGTGAGCTGGTATGGCGTAAACCGCACCAAGCCAACAAAAATTAAAGTGTTCTGGTGATGGTGATAGACGTCATGTGCATGGAAATATCCCGATGGGACAATTTAGTGCGAAAGTTTAAATTTGTGTTGATCTTCGTTATTTGGTGTAACGAAGACGTTTACACACCTTTGCAGTTGTGGTTGAACATATGTAGCATTTGCACCTACTGGTTGCACATAATTCTTGGTACAGCCTTCACAACACCCCTTGTTATCACACACATGCATATGGAGCAGTTGTGTTTGGATGGATTCAATAAAAACCTTCCCCCAGGCGATGCTGAAATGACAAAAATCACAAGTAGAAACTTTTTATTTAACTTAGACAACTGCTACAGAACAGTGTCAACTGAGAAACCGATAATCTGCATCACCTGTGTTGGGAGGGAAGCGCAGTGAAATCATTCAAAGATGTTTCTTCTTATATCTGTACTTGCTGCTCTTTTTACCCCTTCGATTTGTGACGGTGCGTTTGTTAAATGCTTACCTAAAATATAATTATAATTATCTCCGAGCTATAACCAGGTTTTAACTTTAAAAGGCAAGCAAAGAACACATGACTAATGCTCTGGTCCAATACCTTGTGCACCTTGAGTCTGTTTGTGTCATAGCAAATAACAAACGAAAAAGCTACGACAAGGTTATTAGCTCTCTTCCACATCAACTTTCGAATGTGTAGGAACGTCAAGGAACCGTTTTTTCCAAAAAATAATCGTGTTACACTCGATATGCGCTGAAACTTTAGAGAAGAAGTTGAGATATCAGAGTCATTCATTGAACAAATTTAAGCCGAGACATTTGAATCAGGCTACACGAATTTGTTTTGCACAAACTAAAGCTCCAGCGGTCTACGGGTGAATGAGAGCGGCCAGATTGAGCCAAATTGAAAGATTTTGAGAGCTTCTGAAGTTAGAAAGTAAGACGGACGACAATCCGTAACGTTTTTCGTGTGATTTAAAAAGTAATTGATAAATCTTTTGCGAAGTCAGAGGCAAAAACTGAGGTAAGCTAGAGTTAGTTTTGCTGCTCATACGATCGCACGTGCTAAAAACGTCGCTGATTTGAACACTTTCACAAGCCACTGAGTACTCTGCTCGTCACCGTGCCCTATTCCAAAAAATATATTCAAATTCACAAGTAGTATATTTGTAGTTTTTTTTTTCAGAGTTGTGCAGTGCCATAATTTTGACAAATACTCGTGTCAAGCAGATTTGTTATGCAGCCCGATGGGATGAGATACTTATTCTTTCTAGTTGCCACGGTGATTGCGATAGTTTGGTGTGCTTGTGTACATTTTCAGATTTCCTGAATAACTGGACATCGCGCAGCAGATCACCCAAAAACCTATAACCCCACTCGAAATGCTCCTGTGGTTTAGCGTTATATTAACCAGCTTTGAATTTTAGAAATCTTGTTATTGTTTTAACTGATTTGGATACATCAACAAAGTTGAAAAGGTAAATTGGCTACCGTAATGATTACAAAAGTTGACGTTTCGAGCGTTAGCCCTTCGTCGGAGCGAATAGAGGAATTGTGGGTTTTGTGTGCTTTTTGGTGCTTTCCTTGCTTTTTTAAGAGCACACACAACC